GTCATGCTAAGGGTTTCGGCAGCATACATCATAGTCGGTCGAATTATTGTTTTATATATTTTCATTTTCGATTTTTTGCTCAGTAATTTATTTTTTAGAAGCTTTTTATTTGCATAGTATGTCTTATTTGCTGTAATTATCCTTTCTTTAATTTCTGTTTCCCTTTCTCCATTGTTTGCTAATACTATTCCCAAATACTTAAACTTTTCTACTTCTTCAAATATATATTCTCCCAGTCTAACCTTTTTGTTTTCATATTTTTTGTCAAATCTCATTATTTTTGTTTTTTCTTGATTTATTACTAATCCCATTACTTTCCCTTCTGCTACCAATTCTTTTAACATACTTTCCATTTTTTTTCTGTTCTTTGTTATTATCACAATATCGTCGGCATATGCTATTATTTGTCCCTCTCTCGTTCTAAGTGTACCTTTGTTGATTTTTCTGACTATATATTCCAGGGCAAGATTAAACAGAGTTGCAGATAATGAATCTCCTTGACGTACACCTTTATTTATAACAAATTCTTCTGTGTCTCCTTCTTGTGTTTTTACAGTTACTACGGTTTTGCTCATTGTCATTTTTATTAATCGTCTTAATTTGTTGTGTATTCTCATTTCTCTCATAGCTGTAAGTAATTTCGCTCTGTTTATTGAATCAAATGCTTGTTGGAAGTCTATAAAAAGCAGTTCAATTTCTATTTTATATCCATAAGCTTTCTCCATAATTTGCTTTACCGTATGTATGGCATCTGTTGTTGACTTTCCCCTAATAAATCCGCATTGATACTGTCCCATGATATTTGTTGTCGCTTTGGCCAGTCTTCGTTGTATTAAAGTTGACATGATTTTATACGCTGTGTTTAATAATGTCAGTCCTCTATAATTATTACACATTTGTTGGTCTCCTTTTTTATGGATTGTGATAATTTGTCCTTTGTGCCATTCTTCTGGCATCTTTTCTTCGTCCCATATGACTTTTATTAATTGGTATATTTTTTCTCTGAGTTCATGTCCACCATATTTTATTAGTTCCATGTTTATACCGTCTATACCTGGTGCTTTACCGTTGCGACTACTGTTTATAATTTCCTCAACTTCATCTCTCGTTGGTTTTTCTAGCTCGGTTTCTATCATCGTGGTCTCTTCTTCCACATTTTCATTTAAGCCTTCGTCCTCTTGTACTGTTAATAATTCTTTAAAATAATCAGTCCAGATTTTTTTAAACTCTTTGTCATTTTCTGATACTTTTCCATTTCTGTCCTTTATGCCTTTTATCTTTCCTTTGAAGGTTTTGTTCTGTTCGCTAATTTTCTTATAAAATGCTTTTGTGTTTCTATTTGTGTTTTCTTTTTCTATTTCATTTATCTTATCATTTAACCAGGTTCGTTTAATTTTTCTTATTTGTTTCTTACATTCTGTCCTTAATTTGTTGTATTCTTCTTTATATTCTTGTCTATTTGTTCTGATCCACCTTTGTCTTATTTCTATCTTCTTTTTTAACATGTTATGACAGTCTTGATTATACCATTCTTCTTTTTTGTTCTTTCTCTCTATCCCTACATGTTCAGAAGCTGTTTCATTTATACATTTTTTTATATTGCTCCATTCTGTTTCAACATCCTCTGTATGTTCACAGTATTCCTTCAGTTTTTTGCTTATATCTTCTGCATATTTAATTCTTCTATCTGTAGCATTTAATTTTTCTATGTACCATTTGTCCTTTGTTGTCTTGTTTTTTAGCGTTCTTTTGACTTTTTGTCTTATCGTTGCGGTAACCATGAAATGGTCTGTGTCTGCATGTGCACCTCTGTATGTTCTCACGTCTGTTATCGATGTTTGCTTTCTCTTTGTGATGAGTATATGGTCTATTTGGGACCATGTTTTTTGGTCTGGTGAGACCCATGTTACTTTGTGGTATACAGGGTGTGCAAATTTTGTACTACTGACAATCATATTGGTGCTAGTTGCTAAGTTGCATAATCTTTGACCATTATCATTTGTTTTTTCATGTAATGTATATTTACCTGCAACTTGGTTAATGTAGTCTTCTTTGCCTATCTGAGCGTTAAAATCTCCCATTACCAGAATTGTGTCTTCTTTGGGTAAAGATTCAATTTCTTGTTCCAGTTTCTCATAGATGTTATCTTTTTCCTCTGCTACAGCACTTTCAGTTGGTGCATATACGTTTATGATGGATATATTAAATGGTTTGGCGTTAATTCTCAGGTATGCCATGCGCTCATTTATTGGTTTAAATTGCATAATATTATTTTGTATTTTTCCTGTAGTTATAAATGCAACTCCATATTGACCTTGTTTTTCGTGCCCAGAGTAGTGTAATGTGTAATTTTTTTTATTTATTTCTCCTTGACCTGCCCATCTAATTTCTTGAATTGCTGCAACATCAATTCCGTATCTTTCCAGTTCTGAGACAATCTCTTGCATTTTTCCTGGTTCAAGCATTGTTCTGATGTTCCACGTACTTATTTTTACTTGCTCGTGTTTTTTAATTTGTTTGTTATTTTTTTTTATGTACGTATGTTTTATTATTTTTTCTTGAGAATTCATATCCTTTTTCTTTGCCATTTCGTATTTGCCACGTCATAACGAATGTTACAATTTAGAAATGAGGAATATGATTTGAATTTAAATTAATGCAACATGAAATTGTTGTTGTAGGTGTAGTGCCAGGCAATATTTATAATTTTATTTTAACAATCTAGACATAATTTTTTTAAAATGTCTCTGCGACAAGTTGGTGGAAAGGGATATATTTTGATCAAAACTTAATATCGGATAACCAAAATTGCTTTCAGCAGATGCAGAGGATGACATTTAACCGAATTGATTATAGATGTCGAGTTAATTTTATATATAATATTTGTTGATACCATCAAATCATAAGATCAAGCGAAACAAGGGTCAACCTAATGTCAATCCTACCTGCACTTTGGAGACCCAGATGAGATAAACTCTCTAAAACTATATCTCATAGAAATAAGGGCATCATAATCTCAATAATACCCAACGTAAACCGTGTATACCATCGTTGAAAAATTATGGCAAAAAGCTTTATATATCAAGGAATGTAGGATTGTGCGGTCGGTATCTTATAATGAAACATTGTTCGTTGTCTATAGTTTGACAAATATTTAATGAAACTATAAATCAAAAATCATGCGTCGTAAGTGGTCAAAAAAAAGGCGAAATCACGTGTCTATCATTCTCGGAAATTTTGAATTCAATCATTGACGGCACGTAAGAAAATATGTTTCCTTGCTGGTCAATTTACATTGTAACAATATAATATTATATTTATACTTATAACAATAAAAATAATAAATTAGATCTAGTTTATACAATAAGTTTTCATTAACATTAGTAATGTGTAGACTGAGCGGATGTGCGGAAGTCGACTATATACCTAAAGATGTAAAATACTCAAATTGCTATTATCTTTTTATTTCAGAAGGATATTCAATTATTTAGTCTGTCAATAGAAAGAGTGTTAGCAGCCGCAGATGCTTGTTTGGTTTGTATGTACATAATGTCTTTTAAAAACATGACAAAACGTGTTTGTTTGGAAGAAGTTATACATCGAATCATGCATGACATAAATCATTTTGTTACAAATACAATACTCCCCGCAATTAATTCTACATATTGCGTTTACGGCAGTAAATAGAACAAAAGGCAATTATCGAAATTCGAAGTTTATGTCTGAGAAAAATAAATAACTACGCAAGGAAGAAAAGAAAATCCACCACAGAAAGAAGAGAGAAACTATGAACAAACAACTTCACGAACTACAAGATCTAAGTAAGCCAATAGAGGCGAGAAAATTTTACGCAAAAAGGAATTAAAAAAAAAGAAGTGAAGAGATAAGGAGGGTAATATATTGACAGAACAGCAAGAAAAACTAAGAAGTTGGAATTCCTGAACGAGATCGAAAATGTTTTAGATTATATTGATATATTAGATGTTCGTTTGTAGTACTCCATTTAATGTTTTTTTTTATAAAAATATTGCTTTTAATTATGTATTCCATTTTGTATGCCATACGCTAAATATAATATAAATTCTCCGTTGCTGATACGCTTCTTGGTGAAACTGTTGGTGAAAGGACAGCTAACTTATACGATAACTTACGATATCAAGAGTATGAATCATTTTATTATGTTTTTTTTGTTGCAGTATAGTTCCCAACAATGTACCGACAAATCGGACAGCGTGGAAGAATATAGCCAAAAAAATTCGCAGATCAAATAACGTAAGATGTCGCAGCCGGTGTTTTTTAATGGTACTTGTTTCTAGACTTTACAGGCCCTGGTTCAGAATTATTTCTTCCTTACGTTTCGTCTGCAAGTGCGACAGATATTACAAAAGGCGATGTAGCAATGGTCATATGTGCCTGCAGCTTATCAGTGGGCGAAGTGGCGGCCATATCTCAGTGATTAGGTATTGGCTTACCAAGCCGGAGGGCAGGAGTTCCCGGCGTACAATGGACAATTTACAATTTTTTCTGAGCCGTCACCGAGCTTCGGAGGGCACGTAAAACCGTCGGTCCCAGTTTGTAAGTAATCGTTAACACTAAAACTTGAGTCAGAAGGTTACACGAATGAAATTGTACAATAACCTAATTGGCTGCAGTATAACTAGTTATAAAAACAAACGGCTTCCGAAAAAAAATCAATAGACGAAAAGCAACGTCTAATTTGTCTGATATGATAATGTATGTCTCAGCTACAGACGAAATGCCAGGAAGAAATAATTCTAGATCACCTATAACACTCGAAAATAATTTAGATGTAGATTAATCAAAATTAATATAATTCATACTTTTATATAAAATAATTTTTAAAATAACTTTTTTTTGAGCGACAACAAACGGAATTTTTTTTTAAATGTTAAAAGTTATTGCCACTTATAGATAGAATGCGAACACGAAAACTACCACTTAATAATAATCTAAAATAACGGATCATATAATTCACTTACCATATAATACAGGCTATTTCGTGCACTTTCCTTGCTTCTGCAGGACCCATCCCTCTTCATAAGGACAGAATCTAGTGAATCTTTTCTGTGATGATATGGCTCTGCATAAACGGGTTCCTTGGGATTATCAACAAAAAAACAAGAGTTCGGTTCTTTGATTTTTTCATAATTCGATATGGCAAATTTTAACCCATTCAAGCAATTAAAATTAAATGCAGAAGTATTACTGTAATCTAATTCCTGACTAGGCAATCTAGGTAGAGTTCGATTGGATTTAGTACGTGAAAGTACACTGTCATCGCTATCTTCACCAGATGTGATAGATAGTTCTACACGAGGTATATGTTTCTTACCTCGTAACTTATTATTCCTTACCGCATCTTCGAGTTTATTGAGCATATATTTTGGGTCCCCTTTTTTTAATACTTTTTGCAGCACAAGTGGTTTCTTTTCAGTTTGATGGGTATGTAAAAATGATGAATTTTTTGAAATATCTGACGCTTTTTCTAAATTTAGTATTTGGAAGGCTCTAGGGGGTTTTTTTGGTGCTGGACCTTTAGGTAAAGGCCTACTTAGTGCCAGTTTTAATGAATCACTAAAAGATTCTCTTTTTTTATTATCAGATAATTTATCCACTAATTTTAGAGTACTTGAGTTATAGATGGAGTCAATCTTTTTAGTAGGAAGAGGAGAATTTGAAGGATCTGTACAGTTCGAATTATTCCTCCGCAAGGCTTTAGGAATAGGTTCAGTATATAACATTGATAAATCCATTGATTTATCATTCTCATTTGTACTGTCATGGCAACTATTAGGAACATTTTTGGGAGATTCTTTATTATTTTTGTTCCTACAATATTGAAATTCAAGAGAACTTTTAGATTTCACTAAAAACGGTTTTTTGTTACTACTTTTCGGCACATGTTTGGATTCCTTTTCTATCAACGGTGTAGTCTCACTCTTTTTACTCAATAAATTGCTGTTGCTATCACAGTTATATTTAACGGCACTAAACTGTTTTAATTTACTTTCATATAAGGTACTTGGGTTACATCTTTGGAAAGCACTGGTACGTTCTGCACTTTTGTCCACTCTAAAGGCAGGGGTTCTCTTGATGTTTCGTTTAGAAGGGTCACTTAACTGCCTCTGCAGTAATTGTTTTTCATGTCGCTTTGTTTCAGGCACTTCGTCAGATTTGGGATACTATAAGATAAAAATACAACTCAGATAATTTCTCCACCCCATAGTACTTTTTAAAATGGAAACAAGTAATATTTACAGTATTGGTACCTGCTAATTATGATAGAACTACTACTAACAGTTTTATGCGCAAACTAGTTATTTTAGTTTTACAATCTGAATTCGGTTTGATATTATACAATTCTTGTGACCATATTTATATACAAAAACTAGATGTTGTACATTTAAAAATTACACGTAAAAACAAACTATTACTAAAAAATCAAATCAAATCGTTAGATATGTTTACCTATGAAAAGAAATTTCATGGAATTTTTATATGGACTGATTTTTAATCATTCACATTTTCCAATTTTTTATTGCTCACGGTTTATGAAAGATTTTCTGATATTATTTTAGAACTGGCAACCTCCCTTATAAAGACCAAATTGCAGAATCAAATCTGAATTATACCAAAATGCATTTTTTTGTTACTCAAATTGTAATAAGTAAGAAACAAGAATTATGTCAAAAATATATAAGAGTACAAGATCCCACAGCAGGAGCACTTCGTCCATAACGCAGTTAATCAAACTTACATTTTTACATACATTTAAAATTGAGAGAATGTACTGATAGTAGATTGCCAGTAAAAAAGGTCCCGCAAACTTGTTTAATTCAATTAATAATAATTAATTTTTGAACAAAAATTTTATTTGCTTAATTTATTTTTTAAATAAAATACGCTGCTCATGGCGTATAAGCATATTTTTTTATATCAAATTAAAGCTAATTTTTTTCTTAATATGATGATATAAGGTTTCCTAAGAAAAAATGTCGCAAATTAGGGTTCTTCTTCTTCTTCTTCTTTTGGCATCATAATCCTGGATGGGTCTTTGCCTGTCTGGTTATGTCCTTAAATTCAGATCTCTCTTGGGCCCTTCTCCTCCATTGTCGTATATTCATGGTTTTCAGGTCGTCTTCCACGTCATCTAACCATCTCGTCCTGGGCCTTCCTTTTTCCGCCTTCCTACCAGCTTCCACTGTAACATCTTCTTTGTCGTTTTTGTGTCTTTCGTGTCTTCTTGTCACTGAACATGTCCCATCCATGACAGTCTTTAACTTTTCACAGATCTTACAATGTCATACCCTTCATTCAGTTCATTAACCTCGTCGTTTATCTTTATTCTCCAAGTGCCGTCATCCTCTTGCACCGTGCCATATACTTTTCTCAGTATCTTCCTCTCGAATGTCCAGAGTTGGGCTTCCCCTTTTTTCGGGTTTCGTTTATTATCAGCCCTCTTTTTTGTGCATCAGGATCAATTTCCTTGAACGTGTCCATTAGTCGTGTCTTGCTTCTACTAATAATGTCGACATCGTCTGTGTATGCACAGTTGTACTGCAAGTTGTACTGTTTTGGTGTTTATATGGCAGGTTACATTGGTTTTTCTGATGATTGCTTTAAGAAGTAGGTTGAACAGCATGGTTGAAAGTGCGCCTCCCTGTCTCACCCCCATGTTGATGTCAAACAAGGGAGACAGATCTTCATCTACTCTAACTGCGGCTTTTGAACATTGCAACGTTATTTTTATGAGGCTGATATATTTTTTTGGTATACCTAGATTTCGAAGGTCTTCCAGCATTTTGTGTCTTTTCACACTATCAAAAGCTTGTTTAAATTCTATATACATATTATATAGTTCTATGTCGTATTCATAAGCTTTCTCTTGTATTGTTTTAAGTATGAATATGTTGTCTGTAGTGGCTCTATTTGGTCTGAATCCATTTTGATAATCACCAATTATATTTTCGGAGTATTCTGACAATCTGGTGTAGATAATGCCAGAAAGGATTTTGAATATTACATTTAGCAATGTAATTGGTCTCTGGCATTCCCTCTCGTTTTTTATATATTGGCTGTATAGGACAAATTGCCCATTCCTCCGGCATTTGCTCCTTGATCCATACCAACTTTAACAGGTAATGGATTCTTCCTAAGAGTTCGGGTCCTAGGAAACAATTCTGCCGAAACTCCGTCCGTTTCTGGCGCTTTACTGTTGTTTAGTTTCTTTATTGTTTGAACTACTTCTTTATAACTCGGATTTTCAACGTGCTGCTCCGCCGTAAAATACGAAGTCTGGCTATTAAATAACGAGACTGATTATGAAAAAGAGTTTTATTTTAAAAATTATTCTACAATCGAATGCTCCCCTTCAATATACTCCCTTTCCCTCGCCACACACCGTTCCATTCGTTTTTTCCATTGGTCAAAGCAAAGCTGGAAGTCTTCTTTTGTAAAAGCATTTAGGAGTTCCGCCGATTTTCGCATCACCTCTTCCATCGACTCGAACCGGGTTCCTTTTAAGGCAGACTTGATCTTCGGAAACATGAAAAAGTCACAGGATGCTAAATCAGGCGAGTACGGCGCTTGATCGAACACTGGAGTGCCTCTAGCGGCTAAATAACGCTTCACAGACAGCGTGTTATGGGCAGGTGCATTGTCCTGATGCAAGATCCACGATTTGTTTTTCCACAACTCCGACCGTTTCTTACGAACTCGCTCTCGGAGCGTTGCCAAAACTTTTAAATAGTAAGTTTGGTTTACAGTTTGACCCTCTAGAACCCATTCAGTCATCACGATGCCGTTGATGTCGAAAAAAACGATTAGCATGGCTTTAAATTTTGATTTCGACATCCTTGCTTTTTTCATTCTCGGCGATGCACAAGTTTTCCAGTGCATGGATTGTCGCTTAGTTTTAACATCGTATTGGAATATCCAGGTTTCATCGCAAGTGATGATGTTTTCCATCAATTCAGGCTCTTCATCTAACCGCTGAAGAAAATCTGAGCAGATCTGTTGACGGACGAGCTTTTGGTCAGGGGTAAAATTTTTTGGGACCAACTTCGCACAGACTTTCTTCATGTTCAACTCGTTATGTAAAATTTGTCTGACAGTTTCTTTATTGGCGTTTACAGTCTCAGCAATCATCCGAATACTCATACGACGATCTACGCGCACAATTTCATTTATTTTGGTCACTATTTGCGGAGTTGAAACACAGACAGGTCGACCTGGACGTTGATCATCCTCGGTGCTCTCTCGACCTTCAGAAAACCTTTTATACCATTCGAAAACACGCGCACGAGATAGAGAATTCTCACCATAGGCCCCTTTCAACAACTTATAGCACTCAGTCGGAGTTTTTTTTAATTTAACGAGAAATTTCACATTGATCCGTTGCTCGTGTTTTTCGTCACACATTGTTATCGGCACGAAAAAAAAAACCCATTCGTTTTTAACCTCTACAGAAAAAATACTACTACAGCGACAAAAACGTGTTTTCGTACTGAAAGAGAAGACACTTTCAGCTATCCAACGCTGCATTCGTTTCCCACCCTACCCCTCTAGGACGCCTTCTGCGCGCGCAGTCTCGTTATTTAATAGCCAGACCTCGTATATTGTCTCGTTGTGATCATTTTCATTGTCTGCATTTAGGTTTTCTTCAAAGTATTCTTTCCATCTCATTATAATTTTTTATTTCTCTGTTAGTAGTTCTCCGTCCTTGTCTTTGCATATTGTCAATTTTGGTCTAAATGACTGTCTTTTATAGAATTTTCTGCTCTCGTGTCTGTTCTTATGTTCTAGGATTTCTTGTACTTCTTTTTTCAAAGCCTCTCTTTTTTTCTTCTGCATGTTCTAGTCGCTTGTATTCTCTTTTCGTTGTGAATTTCTCTGCCATTTCTTGTGTTTTTTGAAGTTGGTTAAGCCTAGCTTGCCTTTTTTCCTCTACTGCAGTTCTGCATTCATCATCATACCATTCCGCATTTCTTTGTCCTTTGGTTTTTCAGACAGTTTTCTCTGCAGATTGCGTCAGTATTCTTTTTAATTGCCTCCATTCTTCCTCTGCAGTATCTTCCTCTCTTATTCCGTTGAGTTTTATATGGAGCGTATTTTGATATTCTTGTGTCTTTGTTGGACTTTTGAATACCTCAACATTCCATTTTTTGGCAAATTAGGGTTCTCGGCTATTACAAACGGCAAAACGCGTGGTATCAAAGATAAAATAAAATAGAGTTAGCGTGCAACGACACTGGTTTGACAAGTCATAATGAGTATATTATTACATATATATATATATATATATATATATATATATATATATATATATATATATATATATATATCGACAAATGCTTCAAAAACTAACACAACTGACACTTAAAATCAGTAGCGTTGCGCGCTAGCTGTCTTTTATTTTATGTGATACCTCGCGTTTTTAACAGCTGACAACCCTAATTTGCGACATTTTTTCTTATGAAACCTTATATCATCATATTAAGAAACAATTTGCTTTAATTTGATATAAAAAATATGCTTATACGTCATGAACAGCGTATTTTATTTAAAAAATAAATGAAAGAAATAAAATTATTGATCAAAAATTAATTACTACTAAGTTAATTAAAAATATTTGTGGCCACTTTGATTAACTACGTAATGAACGTAGTGATCCTGCAGTGGAATCTTAGACTATAATAATATTCACATTTTAAATTATTAACACGCAATATACAGTGCTTTTCAGATAAAAGTATCCACCTTAAATAACATTTGAACTTTATTTTTAGGAAAAGCGCAAAAACCCGTCAATAACTATTTGAAGGGGAAGATATTATGTCATATTTAAACTTGCTGGAAAAGCATCCTCTCACCCCCATATCATCATTTACTTTTTTAAAATTAAGTCTACCTTTTCTTATTTGATATTTGAATTCTCCTCTTTAGACTGATTTCAAAAATGTATAACACATGATACTTAAAGGGATTAGTTTATGAGAAACTTAACACAAAATCAAGAAAACCGGATTGAAAAAAAATATTTTTTTAACAATTTTATTACAAATATTTAGAATAAACATTTCACTACCAAAAATGTTTACAATTATCTATTTTAAAATTCTTCTCTGACATTGCCTACCACGTCTGCTTTTAATTGTCGACATTCGTCCTCTAATCTTTGTCG